GCGGGCCGTTACCGGGCTCACATGTTGGGGGGCCGATCCGGCTCGGACCACCCGGATTGACTCCTCTAAACACATTTATGAAGTGAGTTATTCGAAATTCGTATATATTGTTTCATTGCTTTGGAAAAATCGATATGTCAAGATTGTAAAAAATAATTTTATATTAAGCTACTTGTAACTTAATTTTATGTAGGACCCATTAATGAGATCGAGCATATTTATGTTATATTATGCGAGGTGATTAACATGATATATTTATTTGTTGAAAATCATTAAGGATTGAACGAAATATTTGATTTTTAAGGTACTCTCTTCAAACTTTAAACAAGTGAAAATTTGATTGAATTGCTAACTCCTATCCCATGGTGTTAAAGTCCAAATTATAATTGGTAATTTTTAAATTTGTAATTGGCATATGAGTTATTGAATCCTAATTAAAAATTAATTATTTGACCATTTTACCCCTCATCTATTTTGTCAATATGAGTCAAACTTCTATTTTCAGGGTTGACTAATGGATTAATGGACGGTTTCTGTCCAATGAACTTTAGCTACAGTTGAAGTGAAAGGTTTGGGATTGCGACAACAAAAATGAAGGGCTAACATGTAGTCTGCAACAAAATAAAAAGTTTGACAGTTCGACTATAATTTTTCCCCACAATTATGCATGCTAGTAATGACTTCTTTTGGACATGGTATCTAGATTCGTTTCCCCATGTACACACGTGTGTATACTTCATAATTGGGAAAAATAAATATATGCTTGACAAGTGTTTATAGATTTTTAAAATTATAAATAAATAGAAATGAACGTAAATAAATGATTTAAGATTTATGTGCTCGTCTAAATATGTGAATATAATGACCCGTGTATTTATAATAATTTATATATATGAGCCAGACGTAGGCTTAGGTGAAATAGGATGCTTATTATTGGGTCTCAAAGTCAATGATTGGGTGGATGCACATGACATAAAATAATGTTATTTAGCCCCCGTTTGATCTACATTAGTATCTCATTAAAATAAAAAGTATAACCGTTATTCATCACATCAAAATTTAAATTCAAATTTTCTATCTCTTATGTGAGCCCCAATAACGACTATATTTTTCATTCACATTCTACAATAATTTAGTTCAAACAGGGCCTTAGTAGAACTGGTGTTTAAACATCGATTTAAGTGGTACTCAAAAGCATCTTCAAAAAATTCTCTATTTTCAAATAGCATATTCTATAATTTAGAAAGTATCTATAAATTTAAATGCTCCAACATCCTCATATTTAACACTTAATTTTATTATTCCAAAAAAATATTTATTATTTTTTCTTATCTTTTGTTTTCACTAGTTTCCATCCACATTATTATATTATTTTCTTCTGTTGAAAATTGAAATAATTAGAATTCATCTAATTATAAAGAGTGAAGTTGGTTGTCTAAATTTAGAAAGTCAAATCCACTCTCTAAATTAAAATGCTAATTTATTCATGTCGTTTGTATATGAGCTGATTTATCGTGCTATTAGAACGCAATTGACAATCATTCATGAATTATGAAAATTGTGAACGAATTAAATAATTGGTAAAAATATAAATGGATTTGACTCGTACCTAATGGGGTATGTTGAAGTCTCCATCTTCCATGCATTGATAAATGAGTTTTGCTACACAAACATAATGGTTGACATAGGGAATGACACAACACACACAAATGATGGAAGTCGACATTATTTAATTCAGGTCGGGACTCACATGCAATGTGAAAGGTCGGTCAACCCCTGTGTCAAGCATTATGTTCATTTAGGGGAACCCGACAAAAATTTAAAAGTTGCTAAGAGTATCCTAATTTGATCAATCCATCTCAATATTGTGGTTGAAGCAACCAGATTAATTTCGCGTTTCTTGTTTTTCATGCTTTCCGGCTACACCAGGAGTCCTATTAAAAAATGTATATATTTTGTGATACTATTGTTCTTGTGATTATAGTTTGAATTATTGCATAGATAAATACAAAAATATGGATATTATATTTGAGGGTTTGACTTAGAAACTAACTAACCCGATGTTCACATGTCCCTAATTTATTCAAACTTGGAGGCCATTATTTTGGTCAATAATTTCCCTCTTATTATTTCTTTAAATCGTCATATGCCAATTTACCATGTTTCACACGCTTTCACACTTTTCTTTAGTTTGTACAATGAGATACTATACAAATGTTTAAAATATACCGATCATCATCGTAAATGTGAAAAATAACTTGTAATAGATGAATATCTGAATGTTTAGTAACGTAACGTCAACTTGTCCAACTCAATTTTTTAATAAAGATGACTTGAAATCTATGCTATAGATGTTATTTCTTTTCTCCATCTTCTCCTTCATGTTCACGTTCATGTTCACGTTCACGTTCACGTTCTAATCACAAGTCCCCCTTACATCAGCTTTAATTACTTGTAAACATAAAAGCTGGCTTTGTATATAAATTGGAAAATGGAAAAACAAAATCATCTTTAAAAAATTTGACTTTTAAAAGATTGATCTAGACGTTTTGACCAAACTATTGAGTTTTGACAATGGACTTTGAATTTTTTTAATAATCAAACGGGAAAATTCCATGTTCTAGACTTGTGAGGAAGTAACAAACTTTGGTAAATTTTATTTGAAGTCACTGAACATTCCACAAAATTTCAATTGAATCACTGAATTTCAAGTTTTACTACTCTTGAACATGTTATCTTTTAAATTGATGGAAATTAATCGATTAATAGTCATATAGCAATGTATCTTTCACGTAATTTTACATGAATTGTCTATTTACTAGAACGTCAGGTCATAAAATTGTTAAAATAAAATAAAATACATATTTTAGCTTTTTAATCTAAACAAAACATCTAAAACCTTCGCTACATTGAAGATTAGAACGGTATAGTTGTCAATGTTGGAGATTTTTTATCGATAATGTGCATATTATATTTATCAAGAACATGTCGTTAATATGCGTGAAATCGGAATATCATTCGACTTACCGAAATCTGATTTGAGAAGACAAAATAGTGATTACCGACTTCCAATATATGAATATGGATTCATCACTTTCCAATCTTGAACGCGTGTCATTCTTTAATTCAAACCTTGCATGAAATCAAAAGAATATTAGTTACTTTCCGAAATCTGAATATTAAATTAGAATGAAATCAGAAAGAAGAAAGATGAGATGCAAGTGATACGATCGGTCGAGACAAGTGTTTGACAATTTGTCCTTAAGATGAATTTATCTCTACCATAACCATGATTTTGATGCATGAAATAATCACTTCTACAAAGTGTTTTATGCAAAACTAAATTGTAAACATGGAATGGAATGATATGAAACTATCAATTGAATTATTTGTTGTTTTTCCATAAAATCCAAACACATGAGGATCTATATATATAGTAGTTGGAAACCACACCAAGAGACATATCTCTTGAAATTAAGAATCATAATTATTGGAAGTTACTCACACCAAAAGTCATGATTTTCAAAAGTCATGATCTTCCATATGAAAAGACTCATCTTTTCATTCTCTAGAATATTCCACAATATTCTATACAATTTTCAACAATTTCAAGCATTTAAGCATTTTAAATTTGGTTTAATTTCTCATTCATCAAACAAAAAATTTCACTTAAACAATCACTTAAATTGGTCACAACCAATTTCGAATTTTCCAACGGTCAACTACACAATTTTTCAAGTTTGGAAACCAAATGTGATGTAGTGATTAATTTAATTTAGAATTGAATTGAAGTAAACTTTGACAGCCCATCAGGATCCACCTTCCCCAACTTCCATGCAACTTTTATATCCATTAATCCAACATCTACTTGACCCTTCACACTGGTATTGTTGAGGAATTGAATTCGTTGCTTACACCGCCTGACCCGCCCACCCACCCACCCTTACAAACATCAACCCACTGACCTACATCCAACACCACCGAATTTATTGACCTTAAAAGAGATAATATTAGATTGCACCCTCTCAATTTGCAGTTTCATACTTTCTTCTTCAGGTATTTGTTACTTGTATTTGCAGTATTATTATCATCTGAATTTTGGTTTTGTTTTCTTGTATTGATTAATTATTTAAGTTGATCATGCCGTTCTTTGATCCTACATCATGCACCGTTTGATTATTAGCTTTTCAGTTCATTTTCTGGATTCAAGCTCTGTATTGCCTTTTCATTTTTTACTCTTAAAGACGGGAAATATTTCAGTCCAAGGCTCAATACTTCTCCCAGCTAGTTATATTTCCGTTATCCCAGTATGTATACCAAGTCAGGAGAAGGAAAGGTCGACTGCAAGACCATACCAAAATTAATATGGCATGATGTGGTTGAAAATATTTGATATCTTTGTCTGTTGCTGGTAAATAACGTACCTTCGTATTTTCAGTTCTTATATTACGCCAAATTGTCAGTCGACATGTCCATGTTCTGGAGAAGGCCACAAAATCATCCGGAGAATGATGCTGCAGCACGGGATTCAAAGGTAAAAGCGAAAAGAGAAATCCTTGGCTCATAAACCATCAATTTCTTTCAAGGCATAAATTGTAAAATTTAATCTTATTTAGTTGCTTTGAATCTTTTGGTAAATTCAGCAATGAACCAAATGAAGTTTTGAATAAGGATTCACTTAACCGAATCCTGATTGACAGACACAGAGCTCGTTTATGGCAGCCACGAGCTCAATCACCTTAAAGTATCAGAAACTAAACTGGGATGTTTTTCTTCACAATGTTGAAGAGAATAAACATAAATGCTGCAATTAAAGGAGAGTCAATACAAGGTGTGTAGTGAAAAGAAACTAAACTATTTATTTATCATCCAAACAGGTTAGAGAGCTAAGGGAAGGTCTTGGTCCACTATCTGGTCGCAGCTTAAAGTTTTGCACTGATGCATGTCTAAGAAGGTATTTAGAAGCTAGAAATTGGAATGTTGATAAAGCCCACAAAATGTTGGAGGAGACTCTTAAGTGGAGGTCAACCTTCAAGCCAGAAGAAATCCGTTGGGTAAGTTAACATAACATATTTCTCTCTCTCTCTCATTTTGAGTATCAATGTGCACAAAATTTTAGTTTTAGGTGATTGTGTATTGTAGCTTTAGTGACCCTTACGCGTCAGGAGTGACGATATACATTTTGGACTGAATTCATTCAGTGTTGAGGAAAAATACTTCACCTTTTAATGTCGATACTTTTACAACATGTTTGCTGTGCTCATAGCCTATTCAATCCTTCGTATCACTCTTTAGTTCTGTTGAGAAGTTTCGGATATTCACATACATAATTATTTGATTGTAAACTCAGGCCTAGAGATACTATTTTCTTTTTGTAAAGAAAGTGTTAAGGCAAGCCAACAAAAGTCCTACACTTGTTGGACAAAGGTTAGGTTACTTGTCCTAATAGGTTATGTTGAGACAATAAAACTGTCATCTAATAGAGTTATGTCTATGGTGCAATATGTGTGGTTCTGTAGCAGAATTGTGCGTTTTTCAGTTCAAAGTTGGTTCAAACTTGTACCTTCATTGTAAAAAGGAGTAATTTGTTACAAGTTTTGTCTGCTATCTAATTTCTCGAATCTATGTCAGCATGAGGTAGCACATGAAGGTGAAACTGGCAAAGTCTCCAAAGCTAATTTTCATGACCGACTGGGGAGAACTGTCCTTATTATGAGGCCTGGAAAGCAGGTTAGCCTATCGATTTTCTCCTTCAAAGGAATGTATGTGGCACATTTTTGATAAACTGGAATGGACACACTGAAGCCACAATTTTCATCAATTATACTGGACAAGATACTCTGTACAAAACATGCCTTTGAACACTGCGTGACCGACTGGGGAGAACTGTCCTTATTTCATGTTTTTGTTACAGAACACTGCATCTCCCGAGGGAAATATTCGTCACTTGGTGTATCTAATGGAGAATGCAATTCTACACCTGCCTGAAGGGCAAGAACAAATGTCGTGGCTTATAGACTTCAACGGATGGTCATTGAACACAAACGTTCCAATTAAAACAGCACGAGATATCATTTACATTTTACAGAATCATTATCCAGAGAGACTTGCTATAGTTGTTCTCTATAACCCACCAAGAATTTTTGAGGCATTTTGGAAGGTATAACCTCTCATCCTCTAAAAGCTCATCAAATTAAAACTCACTCTTAAGTTTAGCTATGTTACATTTCTGCAGGTTGTAAAATACTTTGTGGATCAGAAGACTTTTAAGAAGATAAAGTTCGCCTACCCAAATAATAAAGATAGCTTGGAGCTAATGAAAACCTTTTTTGACACTGAAAATCTTCCTAGCGAATTTGGGGGAAAAGCTACTCTGAAATACGATCATGAGGAGTTCTCAAGATTGATGGCCCAAGATGATATGAAAACCGCAAAGTTCTGGGGATTCGATGACAAACAGGTGGTGGTTACAGAGCCAGTGAGCCTTGCACCACCTGCTATATGATTGTACAAAAACTGTTCAGGAAATGTATTATCGTGCCTGACCGACCGCACTAAGATATTAGTAAAGAAATAAATTCATTTTCTTAGCATTTATCAGCAGAAAATTTTGCTAATTTCAACACTGGGGTGATGGTAATAAGCAATATACATGAATCATGATTAAATTAAATATAATTTGTGAAGTTGAACGTAATAATCCATGATTGTAAATTCATAGCCATTCTCAGATAAGATCGACGAGTCATTGAAGAAGATGAACAAACCCAATGTTATCTTTCAAATGCAATAACAAAAATCAAAATTAATAATTCAGCGCAAACCCCCAATGACTCTGCCATTTTCTTGGTTTCAGTGGAGCTCAAATGGACGGCGGTTAGCTTACAAGAAAAGCTGATACATCCCTGCCTGCACTGCGACTGAAAAGCCCAAAATTATTTTTCATTTTGACTAATCAAGCAGTTAATTTTCTTTAATTAATTTGTTATTATTCAATCTACTGGAGATTATGTTGACATGCTCGAGGTTCTCTTGATGAAAGATACATATATGTATATATTTTTTTTAAGTTTTAATTTCTCGATTTAACTGGGCTTTAAAAAAATTAGAGAAAAATATTTTAGGTGTAAATCTGGATCGAGAATGTTGAGATAATTAATTATTGTGATGAAACGAGCCTCAAATATCAATTAATTTCGAGGAGGAAAAATGTAAAAAGAATTGCACCTTTGCATAATTGCATGCGTCAAAAGGAAAAAAAGACGAAAAGGAAGGTCCCACCGAGATTTGAACTCGGGTTACTGGATTCAGAGTCCAATGTCCTAACCACTAGACCATGGGACCAATTGTGTTGTCTTTGGGTAATTTATTTCTTAATTATAAATACAATAGAAATTAATTAAATTTTAAAAAAGGGTTTTTTAAGTAAAATTTACAGAAAATGAATTTAGATAGAAAATCATTCATCTAATTTCATTATTGATGCTTATATTATTTCAATTCTAAATTCAAGACCAACCTATTGAATTTTAAAATTAAGGGTCTGTGTTGATTGTAAATGTGAAAAATTGGTGGAAAGAAAATGAATTCTAAGGAATTGAATTGTTTAGAAATTATTTTACTGAGAATTTTAATTAATTGTATTTAATTGATATAATTTTTCACTTGGAAAATGTTAAAAGTTTGGTGTATATTTGACTTTTGTTTTTCATGAAAATTATTCATTAAAGTGATAATTTTTTTTTACCATTATGTCTAGCATTTGTTCCAATTGCAAAAAAAAAAAAAAAAAAAATTTTGGAAAACCAAAAACCATAAAAACAAGAACAAAAAAATTTAATGGAAAAGCTGGAAAA